GACGCGGCGGCGCGCGGCGGCTCGAGCTCGCGACGCGCGGGCGCGCCAAGGATGGGCAACCTTCCCAAGGGCTAGTCACCCCACGCAGCATGGGTGGGTGACCTTCCCGAGGGCGCCCCTGCGCCCTCGCCTCCGCGGTCCATCCATGGTCATTTTCGCTGGCCGCGCCCCGCTAGTAATGCATCGTTTCGGTCCCCCAAGGCCCCTGCACCCGCGTCGCGCGCCCTTCCGATGCAGGCTGGCTGCGCGACGAACTTCGCATCCGCGACCATGGCCACGACGTCGACGACGTCGACGACGGCGACTGCGACGCAGATGGCAACGACGACGACGACAGGAGCTTCTCTTCTTCCTCCTCCTTCCTCCCCCCACTCTTCCTCGTTCTCCTCCTTCCCCCCTTTTTCCTCGTTCCTCCTCTTGCGGTGCCCTTCCTTTTTCTTCCGCTTTCCATCATCCTGCCTCCTCCTTATTTTCACACTCCTCCCTCCTCCCTTCTCCCCTCCTCCACGCCCCCCCCCCCCTCCCCCTGCCCCTCGGGCCCCCCCTCGTCGGCCCGAAATGCAGAGTGTTTCCATCGATCTGGGCTTGGGGGTTCGATTTGGGGCGCGGCCCCTCCCCCGTCGGCCCATGGTTCGCATTTCCCCTGGGTTAACCTGCGGCGGCCGCTGCGGCCGCAGCCGCGGCCGCGGACTTAGCGGCCCCAGTGGGACCTCCCGAAAGGCCAAATCCATGAGCCGAGCGGCGGTCGACCGATCGATCGATCGATCGGTCGATCGGTCGTTCGCAGCTCGGCCCATGGCCCCCGCGAGGCCCCTCGATTACCGCGGCAAAAATCGCAACGTCGGAAAACAGCGACGGGGATGACGCGGATACGATCACGAGCAGCGGCGGAGACGCACGTCGATGCGATCCACGATACCAATTTTGGAGTCGGCAGGGGGATTCTGCGATGTCGCCCCCCCCTTCCGTCTTAGCCTCGTCCTCCCTCCTCCACCTTCCTTCATGTCCTTGTTCCCCCTTTATTAACCTCATCTTCCTCTTCTTCCTCCTCCGCCTCCTCCTCCTTTTCCTCCTCCTCCTCCTCCAGCTCCTCCTCCGTTCGCCGTGGCTCAACTATCTGCTCGGAGTTCAGGGTTTAGGTTGTAAGGATTTGGGGATTGGGGTTCAGGTGAGTCAGGGTTCAGGACCTGCGCACGGATGCAGTGCATCCATCAGGTTCAAAGATGGCGTTTGGACGTAACCTGCCAATCATAACGGATTGCTGCAAACTGCATGAGATTGGGTCGGTCCTCGGCCCCCTTCGGGTCTGCGCACCTATCGCGACAATGTTTTTTTAGATTCTGACACAAGTGAGAGCCCATGATGCCTTGATGATGAAGATTGGCTCTCAATGAGCTACCTGTATTGGTCTTCGATCAAACAAAACAAATCGTAGAAACTAGATCGTGGAACGTTGATGGTCGATCTAGCGCGGGTGCGCATGCACGATCTGCGAAATAAGTCTGGGGATCCTTTTAGGCTCTGGATCCCGATCATCCGGAATCTACATCGGCGCCCAACGTCATACGAACACCGTTGGCAAACTATTTGCGCTATAGTTTGCCATGTGTTGGGTTGTGGAGTATATTGCCTCGCCCTCCCTCACCATCGCCATCTTTCGTCATCGAATTCGACTAAGAGTGCGCGGCTAGCGCGACACAGCTGCGCGTCCGAGGAAGGGCGAATATTCAGCTTGTTATGCGGGTCTGTCATCTATCTGATCAGATTGCTTATCATGCTGTCTTCAAAAAGGTGGGAAGCCAAACTGGGCAAGTTCTGAATGAGCGTGCTGATCACTTGGCCGATTGTGGCGCTTGTGCGACCTTTATGCAACCCGGCGGATGTTCATCGCTGGGCGAGCTCTTGGAGCTAATACGTGGTGTTCTTGGTCAGGCAGCCCCTGATATTTCCCCAATCAGAGATTGCATCTGTAGGGGTCCTAGCGGATTCATATGGTTTGGTTAGGTTTGCCGCCGATTTTCGCTGCGCGCCCGGGTGCCCGGGCGCCCGGCGGTGCCCAGGGGTGAAGTTGGCCGCCGATTTTCGTTGCACGCCCGGGTGCCCGGGGGGTGCCCCGGAGTGTCCGGGTGCCCGGGCGTGCCCGGGGGTGCCCTATAGCCTTATAGCCCTACAACTCTATAGTTCTATAGCCCTATAGCTCAGTAGCCCTATAGCCCCCTAGCCCTATAGCCCTGATTGGGTTTTTTCTCCGATCTCATTTTCATTATCGCGCATTCGTCCATAATGGGGCTTTCAAAAAAAATGCGTAGTAAGGATCCCATGAATGACATCAGTTTCGTTTGGATGCTTTCACTAGTATCCTTCAGTAAGGACCCTGTAGTAAGGATTTACTGTTCATGATTTCTTTAGTAATGTGTCCTTGGTGGGGATGCCTTTCGTAAGGGGTCCTGAGTACGGATGCTTGTGGTAATGCCTTCTTGTTGATGCTGTCTTGGGTCCGGGTCCCGTCGCTGAGGGCCCCTGTAGCATGGGCCCGCGGGTTCTTGGGGCGAGCCTGGGAAGCGTTTGGCTTCGCAGTCAGTTTCCCAGTCGCCGCCGCCGTCACAATCGTCGTCGCGGTCGTCTGGAAGGGAAGGAAGGACAAACAACAATTGTGTGTTCTTTGTTTGTTTACCCCTACCCACAAACGTCGAATTTCGAACCGCCAAGCAGCACTGCACTCGGAATGCGTCACCACCTTTTGGCGAACTTCCCGCCGACCCGAGAGATGGGGACGGAGGGAGACGGAAAGAGGGAGAGAAAAATGGAGGGGGAGAGAGAAAGGAAGAGAGAGCGCGAAGCGCTGAGAAGGGAAGATGCATGAATTGATGATTTCCGCAGGGGGCGATTTGAACCCGAAACCATCGGTACCATGTTGTTCCCCAAGAGCCCAGAAACCAAACAACAGAGAGGGAGGCAGAGGGCAAGAGTGGCCGCAGCGCTGAGCTGTTTTCACCTCTGCGCGAGCAGTTCGCTCCCCCCTACCTAGACACCGGGTCTGGGTGGTTCCGTGAGGGCATGTTGCTAATAAGTACCCCATGGCGTCCGCGATGGACAGCCACTTGGGCTTAGGAAGGCTTAAGCGAGGAGGGAGGGATGCACGTTCCCTGAGACCCTGGCGTCTCAGCTTTTTCTTCAGCCAGGCATTTTCGCTTGGTGTTGGGCCCCAGGGATCACAAATCGACCCGGCTCGAAAAATAGCGCAGAAAGATGGAGTCCAGGGTTTTGGTCGTGATTCCTGTTCACGATGTTCCCCGAACCGCGCTTGCACTTAGGAACTCGCTCTTTTGGTCTAAGGATAACGGCCTGTGCGTCGGTTTGACAGCTACGTGCCGGCCGTCGCCGCCCCGTCGCCGCCTCTTCGCTGCCCGTCGCCTGGGCTTGCGTGTCGGTCTGGCGGCTCAGTGCCGGCCGTCGCCGCCCCGTCGCCGCTTAGATTTCACATCATAGTTGACACCACATCGATTGCACCGCCGAGATTCCACCACATTGATGGCACCGCATATATTGCACCATGTCGATTGCACCAAGTCGATTGCACTGGATAGATTGCACCACACAAATTGCACAACATGCATTGCACATCCTTCCACGTAGATTGCACCACATAGATTGCTCCACCAGTATTGCACCATACATACGGGTAGAAACATACTGTTTTGGGTCCATGCTGGCTAACATTCTCATTTTTGTCGCGCCGTTGGATCTCAGCATACATACGGGAAATTAATGATCAGCGTGTCGGCGCGGCGTCGATCCCAGCGCGGTCGGTCAAAGGTGAACCCCGCCGGCTCACGATCGGCCAATGTATCGAGCGATTTGCGCGGTCGGGTAGCCGCGAAAATTCACGATTGAGCGATCCGCGCGGTGTTAAACACCAACGCGGAAGTCGTCAACATACAACGTTGCCAGAGAGTTGGCGCGATGTGTACGAAAAGCCTTAGCTCTGGAGGGGTACCCTCGTTTCTGCTGTTCGTGCTTGGGCTTCCCATCTGCATGTGGCCCTGTGCCTTCGGCGAAGGGGCTCACGTTCCCGAGCCACGTCGGCGTAGCCATGTTTTTGGGCTGTAGGAGGGAGGGGCTTCGAGGAACGACGGTCTTTGAGGACCGAGGATTTGGGATCGAGGATCGTTCAAGATTTTGGAGGGTCGAGGATGCAGGGGACTGGGGGCTCTCGAGGATCGAGAGTTTGGGAGGATCGAGGATCGAAGAGGGAGGGAGGAGGAGGAGGAGGAGGAGTCTACTGTACCGTCTCAGGGGGTTCAGTATTCCAGTGAGCGGGGTGAGTGGTCATTCCTCACCCTGGTGCTCCTCCTCCCCATTCTCTCCCGCCTCCTTCCCCTCCTCCTCCCTCTCCTCGACGCACGGCCGCCTGCGAGGGCGGGGGCGGCTCCGCTTAGGGCCCAGAGTGGAGCGCGCAGTGCCTTTCGAGTATTCCTCCCCTGATTCTTCTCGTTCATGCCGCTCGCCGGCGCCCCCGAGACAGCATACTCAACAGAGGGAAGCCGTTGCAGGGGGAGGGATGTCGTAGGCTTTCTTTGAGGGGCTCGGTTCTAGTTTGTGGTTCCTGGTGGTCGTCGGGCAGAAGGGTGATTTCCAGTGTGCCTCGTCGACAGTTTTCTAATTCTGGGCGGCCTGGGATCGTCCGAACAGCCGTCTGAGGCCCGAGTGATGGCCCAAAAACAAGCCAGAGAGACGGAGAGGAGGAGAGAAGGAGGAGGAGGAGGAGGACGAGGAGGAGGACCGGAGCCAAGGATGCATGGACACCATCCCGTCCCAAGTCCTCTCACCAGAAATCCCCCAGGAGCGTTCTTTTCACTGCATGGAAGACGAACTCCTTTGGGGCCTGCCGTTCAGGCGAGAGTCCTAGTTTGAAAAGGAAGTACGTGGCATCCTGCTCTCGAGTTATATGGAGCACGAGAAGATGAAGCTCCCGAAGTTCAGCTGTGTCTCCAGCGAGAGCCCCGTCTTGAAAAGGAGATGCCCCTGCCCATCCGTGTAACTGCTGCATGCGGTTGCATACACTTCTGGCCATGAGATGTGAGGAAGTCTGTAGCGAGAGCCCCAGCGTTTGAAAAGGAAACCGCGAGGAGGGTGATTTTCTTGTTTTGGGGATGTTGTCAGTCCTCCTGAGGAGCCCTCGCCTCCGCGGCTGGATTCGCTTCGAAATCGTTGTCAATCAATACAGGCTCCAGTGGAGGCCTGGGGATCTATGCCTGAAGGGCCCGGGGCGATGGGGGTTTCTCTCGGGCGGTCCGAGAGAGGGGGGGGGGGAATAAGAAGGGATGCAGGAATTGCGAAGACTGCCGCATCCTGGGTGCGTTGGTCGCTCCCGGCGCTTTCAGGCGCCCCTCCCAAAAGCAGCTACGCAAGCAGCTGTGCAGTCGATTCGCTACCCCCCTTGAGATTCCCCTTTCTCGCCAACGCCGATGATCTCAGAAGCGACGGGCCCAAGCGATCTGACTTGCGCGGCCCTCGCACATTACCAAAAACGAGCGTAGATCTCTGAATCTCAGACCAGGAGACGTGTTTTACCAGCAACACTGTGTTATCGTTACGCTTTTTCGTCTGACTGTTTGCCGTTGTGTTCTTCAATATTCGCAGCACAGTTCGGGAGAGTCGATGCGTCTCAGGAAGAAGAAGAAGGGACGGGCCGAGGGAGGACCATACGCTCTACACCACCTAAGATGCGAGTCGCGAGGGATCCCCTTTAGAAGACCAGCCCCCCCAGACCTGCAGCGCCATCATGTATGTCCAGGTGGACGTTCTTTCGCGCCTACGGCGTCCATGGGGCCTCTTCTCGGGTCTCAGGACCATCCAAAAATCACCCACGGTGCGAAAAACTGGTCCCAGACGGGACAGGACATTGGCCAGAAGGGAGGCGGCGCGGGTCCTCCCTGGTAGCGTGCCGGGCCAGAGAATTGAGCAGTGTAGCGTGAAGCAGATTCGGGGTGGCCATCGGCGAGGGAGCCCGACAAGAAGGAACTGGAGGCGGCAGGCGAGGTGGGAGGGACGGACGACGAGAAAGATGAACGACGGGAGGGTGGAGGGAGGGAGGGAGGGTGGGGGGAACGACGACGACAAAACGAACGACAGGATACAATGGGCAGAGTTTGCCCCCCAAGGCCAGCATATGTTCATAACCACGACCTCCCAGGCGGTGGATATGGGTAAATCCCCACCTCGGATACTTCTTTAGAGTGGAGGAGGCGGAGGAGGAGGAAGAGGCGGAGGAGCAGCAGGAGGAGCAGGTGTAAGAGGGGGGACGACGACAAAAGGAACAACAGGGGAGAGAGCTGGCGCCCAGGGGCCGAGCCTTGAAAATGAGCACGGCGACGGGTGTACTGGCGTCTCGCCCCACGCCCCTGCCTTCGCGCCGCCAACAGGTCACACATGGAAGCCGACAAGAATCATTGGTTGGTTCTCCGAGGACGCGTGCCGTGTCGGACCTGTTCGACGTGCTCGACACCGACCACGGGGGGGTCTTATCTGCTCAGGAGCTGCTCGATCTCACCTACATCCGCGGTCTTGACATCACCAATTGGGTGGAGGAGCCAGGTGGTGCTCAAAAGGGTAGCACGTCCCCATTCATGAGCAGCGGCGCGGGTCGCGCCCGCTAGTGAGCGAGGCTTCCCTTCCAAAAATATGTAATCCTTTTCGCGCGAGCCCGTTACTTTGTCATATTCGCACTTGCGCACGTGGCGATGATCATTTGCCGGTGAGATTCTGAGCGGATGTGGCGGTCTCGTTCCACATTCGGCAGAGTTCGGTCTAAGTACGCGTATACAGTCTAGCCTCGCCTCTCGGTATGGCGATTCCGTCTTGGCTCCGTGGGCCATGAGCAAACTTGAGCATATTCGTTTGCCAGATGTCATGGTAAGTTGTCATACCGTTGACGTTTAAGTACTTAGCGACGTTGACATCACACTTCACAGTGGTCGGGTATCTTCGCTTATCTGTGTTCACCTCGAACATATGCGAGCAATTGCGTGCGCTGTCATACATGCCCCGTGAGTGCACCATCTATGATCCCAGGTCGAGGGTTCACAGGCCCCCCCACCCCAGATGGGATGGGTCCAAGGATTGCACAGCCCCCCCCCTCCCAGATGGGATGGGCGGTGGGACGACGACGCCGACGACGACGCCGACGACGACGACGCCGACGCCGACGCCGCCGACGCCGACGCCGACGCCGACGACGAAGACAACGCCACGCCCACAGGGCCACGACCACAGGCGGAGGGGGGAACGATCCCATTCGCGAGGCCTTCGCGAGGCTCACGGGCGTACCTTTCCAGCGAGGGGGGGAGACTCATACCAGGAGCATGCGGACTTTGGAGTGAACCAATCAGTTTGTAACATCATGTCGCCGAGGTTGTGCCTCGTAAACCCACCAATCCTCTGTGCGGTGGTCTAACGCGCTACCTGTTAGAACCCCCTTCTTCCCCTTCGGGGAGGGGTTTACCCCTCGTCCTACTCCTTTCTTCCTGGGTCTGGACGTGGCGGCCCGCGAGCGATTCGAGCGTCCATGATTATCCAATCTGGCTCCAAGATTGCACAGAGCCCAAAATGGCCTCCAAGATGTCATCCACGATGCCTCCAAGAGGCCACAAGAGCCCGCCCAAGATGGCTCTATGTGGCCACGGAGCTTCGCAAGGAGGCCCCAAAAGGGCACCCGTCCGTCCAACACACACGGGCAATTCATCAAACAATTTCGCCTTTTCGCCGGTTCGTTATCAGTGGACCTCTGAGGTCTACGATGTCAGGATGGGCCGAACACGACCAATTAGTGGTGGTGGACGCCGGCAACCTTACGAGAGGAATGCAGGAGGAGGAGGAGGAGGAGAACAGGATGACACGACGCTACGAGCTTCGATCAAAGTTCGCCCAACGTAGAAAAGGGAACAGCAGGAGGAGGCAGAGGAGCAGGAGGGGGAAGAAGCAGGAGGATGGGGAGCAGCGCGAGGAGGAGCCCTCCTACGAGGGCCCCAAGGGGCCCACGAGGGCTCCAGGGCGGCCCCGAGAGCGCCCCAGGGGCGCCCCCAGAGCGCTTCAAAATGGCCCTGGGGGGCGACGGCTCAGGCCCCAGGGAGGGGTGACCCTCCTCGACGCCGCCCCCGTTTGCTGCTGTGTGGCCTCTACGACGGCCCCAAGATAGGGCCCGAATGACCCCCGAGAGGGCCCCCAAGAGAGCCCCAGGAGGGCCCCAAGAGAGCCCCGGGAGGGCCCAAAGATGGTCCCAAGAGGGGGCTCGAGAGGACCCTCGAGAGGGCCTCAATAGAGCCCCAGAAGGGCATCACCCTCCCCCCGCCCAACTGCTGGCCCCCAGCATAGATTACCCAGGGACGTACCCAACACTTTGCACACATGAGGCAACTATACATAGGACCACCCAGTACAAACAAACATGCTGAAGGACCCGCAGTGCGCATGAAATTCTCAACAAAGCATGCCGGAATAAGTAAGATAGAGACGTAGACAGAAGCATACATGGGGGTGTGAAGGAGGGACATACATATTCAGTAACAGCAACAGCACCGAGCGCTACATGCGCGGGGAACAGAAAGCAGCGCCATGCGCTCGCTCTACAGCAAAACATCGCGTCGCGCTGAGCGAGGCAAGCGCACGGGGTGGCATGGCGGGCCAGCATGGTACCAACTTTGATCCCCGTACAACTCCACTCCGCTGGACCTCCCAGGAACCCACGAAATTGGCGACTGTTGCGCACTTCGCAGCCACGCAGGGAGCCGCGAGGTCCCAACTGCATCCCCGTACAACTCCACTTCTCGTGACCTCCCATGAACCCACGAACTTGGCGACTGCTGCGCATGTCGCAGCCACGCAGGGAGCCGCGAGGTCCCAACTGCATCCCCGTACAACTCCACTCCGCGCGACATCCCAGGAGCCCACGAAATTGGCGACTGTTGCGCACTTCGCAGCCCCCCAGGGAGCCGTGAGGTCCCGACTGGATCTATACACTACCCCACTCCTCGCGACCTACCAGGAGCCCGCGAAAGTGGCGGCAGTTGCGCACGTCGCAACCACCCAGGGGAACCGCGAGGTCCCAACTGGATCCGCGTACAACTCCAGTCCGCGCGACCTCCCAGAAGCCCGCGAAGGTGGCGACAGCTGCGCACCTCGCACCCCCGCAGGGAGCCGCGAGGTCCCAACGGGTCTGCGTACCACTGCCCCACCCTCGCGGGCTCCAGCGAAGTCTGCGTGAAACCCCACTGCGTCCTGCCTCGCAGGTGCCAGCCCCCAGGAAGCCGCGAGGTCCCCACTAGATCCCCGTAGCCCCCAACTTCGCGAGCCCCTCCCAGGAGCCCACGAAAATGGCGACGTTTGCGCACTTCGCAATCCCCGAGGGTCCCGCGATGTCTCGGCTGAGTCCCCGTGGACCTCCACTCTGCGAGACCTCCCAGGAGCCCGCGAGCGTGGCGGCATTGCACACTTCGCAACCCCCCAGTGACGCGCGAGATCTCGACTGGGTCTGTTGACAACTTAACTCCGCTCCGCTGGACCTCCCAAAAGCCAACGAACTTTGCGACAGTTGCGCACTTCGCAGCCCCAAGGGTCATGCGAAATCTCGGCTGGGTCTTTTACAACTCCACTCCGCTGGACCTCCCAAGAACCCAGGATATTGGCGACAATTGCGCACTCCGCAGCCCCCTCCAAAATCCCGCGAGGTCTCGGCTGGGTCTGTTTACAACTCCACTCTGCTTGACCTCCCAAGAACCCATAAACAATTGCGCACTTCGCAACCACCGAGGGTACCGCGAGGTCTCGGCTGGGTCTGTTTCCAACTCAACTGCGCTGGAGCTCCCAGGAGCCAACGAAATTTGCAACAATTGCGCACTTCGCAGCCCTCAATGACACGCGAGGTCGCGGCTGGCACTGTTTACAACTCCACTCCGCTGGACCTCTCAGGAGCCCACGAAATTGGCGACAATTGCACAATCACCAGCCCCCCAATGACCCGCGAAGAATCGGCTGGATCCGTTTACAACTACACTCCGCTGGACCCCCCAGGAGCCCACGAAATTGGCGACAATTGCACACTACGCAGCCCACCAATGACCCGCGAGATCTCGACTGGTTCTGCTGACAACTCCGCTCCGCTGGACCGCCCAGAACCCCACGAAGATGGCGACAATTGCACGCTGCGCAGCCCCCCCAGGGTCCCGTAAAGTCTCGGCGGGGTCTTTTTACAACTCCATTCCGCTAACAAGGGAGATTGCAAAACATGGCCGGGAAGGTGGTGGAGAGCAACAAACGAGCGGACACCATGGCAGAATTCTTGGAAAAAGTACAATGGAAAGTATGGCCCGCGGAGATAATATCACATGAGCCCTTGGGGCCGACACTGCCAGTGAACGACGGGGAGTTCTCTATTCAGGAAGTTGGAAAAGTGGTGCAACAATTGAAATGGGACAAGGCAGGCGGGCCAGACGGTATCCCGGCGGAGTATTGGAAAGCAGTTGCCCAAACGCCCGGGGGGTTACAGTGGCTCGCAAAATTATGCAACGCATGCTGGTTAGAAGAGTCGGTTCCGCAAGCCTGGCGGCATTCTTTGGTGACTACGATTTACAAAAGCAAAGGGCCAGTGCACCTCTGCGACAATTACAGACCGATCAGCTTATTGTGCGTAGCGTACAAAATGGTGGCAAGTTTGTTATTGCGGCGACTACAGGACGCTGGGGCAGAAGACCGGCTGGCTGCTACTCAATTTGGTTTCTGCCGACACGACAGACGCTATCCACGTGGTCCGCAGGTACATTGAATTAGCAAACGCCGGGAAAAAGTCTGGGGCCACTTTCGTTGCGCTAGACTGGAAAAAAGCATTCGATTCGATTAATGTGGAAGCTAAGTTTGTATTGCTGCAGAGGTTTGGGCTCCCTGCTCGGCTTCTCGCAATAACCAAGAGCATTTATTCCGACAGGAGCTTCTGCGTGGCCGATGGGGGTCAGAGGTCGCGCGAGAGGCGGCAGATGTCTGGCATCGCGCAAGGGTGCCCCTTGTCCCCGTTTTTATTTGTAATGGTGATGGCAGTGATAATACAAGACGCATCCGCGACGTTGAGCGACTCGGCCAAGACAGCGCTTGAACATGGGCATGTATCGGTCTTATTGTATGCGGACGACACTCTGATCTTTGGAAAGCACCAAGAGCACATGGAAGAGCTGCTGAACGCAATCGCCACTGCTGGAGGAAAAGCGGGCATGGAATTATATTGGGACAAATTCCAAGTGTTGCATGAGCAGAACGACATAGAATTATACTCGCCCTCTGGAGCGCTTATACAGCCACAAGATCGTCTTGCCTACCTGGGAGCTACAATTAGCAACACTGGCAGAATATCCGGGGAGTTCAATCGAAGATTGGGGACGGCGTGGGGCGAGTTCTCAAGGTATTGTAAAATTTGGAAACACACTTCGATCGGTGTCAAGAGAAAGCTGATGGTCTTCGACGCGATGATCACCAGTATGGTCATGTACTCCCTCAGTTCTGCGTGGCTTACCAGAGCTGACAGGAAGCGGTTGGACGGCTTCCA